CCCTGAAGTCTGGCCTTTTCACTAATGGTTTCAAAAACACAAAGACTGACGAAGCCTCTTGGATGAGGGGCGAAACGTTTCTTTTTAACAAAAAAACGAAGTCCAGATGACATGATTCAACCTTTTTTGTTGTTATATACCTGGATGACTGAGAAAACAAACTTTGTATTTATAAGACAGATCTGGGTTGGCAGGCCTCAGACTGATGAAGTCTTTTGGATGAAAGTTGAAACGTTTCTCCCAAGAATAAACTGTACAGATGAAATGACTTAATCTTTTTTTTTTTTTGGTGATTTATGTATCTGGATGGTTGAGCTTTTCAAACCTTTAACAGTTACAATATTTATATTTGAATTGTTCGAGAATAGAACTAGAACAGAACATCAGAGAAATGGAACTGGTTGCAGTGCTGCATTCAAAGCTCTTGGAAAAAATATCCAGCCTGATCTCCGAGCGCTTTTTAATTTTTATTTTTGGGGAGTTTGGCGTGGTTGAGGGACAAAAATAGCTTTTTTATTAATCCGTAATATTGTATTGTAACACTCTGTTTTCCAAGTACTTATTTACGAAGCATATGAGAGTTGTAGTGTAACAAGATCCTTTATGTATTTAGTTGCGCTTCTCGTTTCGGACGGGCGGTTTGGGCTTTGAACGCAACACATCCCACAGCTTTGATTTCCTGGAAGGAGGAGCGACCCGGTGAGCTCAGCCGGACTGTCACTTCCCTGCTACCCGCGGCTAACGGAACCGCGCTTCTGTCCCGTTAACTGCGAACCGAGACAGTGAATCAAATGCCTACATGATCCAGTTAACCTCACAACGAGATACACGGTGTTCAGTTTACACAAGGTGAGTCGTTTTTGTACTTGAGGTTAAAGCTAAACGGGGCGGTGGCGAGTGCTAGCTTGCTGTTTGTGTAGAAAATGGGTGAAATAATGGCGTTTTGTTTCGTTTGATGAGCACCGCTTTTATTTATTTATTTTTTTGCTCCGAACTGATCACCGAGTTTCATATCGCAAATGTTAATTTAATTCAAGTGTTGTGTCCTAATATTAGGAAGAGGAATGCTTCGAATCGTAGTTTGGTTTAGCAGCAGCGTGTTCTTCCACGAGCTTGTTGCTTGGTCCACGTTTTTGCAGATTCATCTTCGCTGTGTCCTTCCACTTCTAAACTGGCATTTGTCGAGGTTAGTTGTTCTGGTCCTGATGGGAAAAACCGGAAGAAACGGTCGTTCTTGGGGAGAAACGGTGTGAATGGTCGGTTTATGAAGGGTGGGTGTAAAATAGAAAGTCTGTGTGAGGAGATTAGCAGAGGATTAGAGCTCCACAAGGACAAACAGAGAATCACGCTTTATTTCTTTCTGCATGATCCCCAAACTCCCGTTTCATCCACGCCACTGGGGTTGGGATTAAATTTAGCATATCACCTGTCTCTGCAGGTAAGGCTTTAATCTCTATAGTTTGAATGAAACACTCTTGGACCTCATGTAAAACTTCCATATGTAAGAATTTAGTTTTGAGAACAGTAACTTATCAGATTAGCTAATATTTCTGGTTGAACATTAATGTTTAAGTTTGAACTTGGGCTGTCAGAGCTGTGGTTCAATGTTTGATGGCAACAAATAAATGCCACAAGGCCCATTTTTATGGATCTAGTTTGATTTGTTGCACAACGTGATGAGTTTTTCATCATTTAAAGAGTATTCTCACTCTAGATTAAAGTTACTCTGCACAAAAGGTGAAATCAAACGTCAAAAGTTCATGCTCGATCATCCAGGTACAAAAGCCAATAATGATCTATCAGGTCATCTGGACAGTTTCTTTTTTTGCGGAAAGACGTTTCGCCCTCGATCCAGAGGGCTTCATCAGTCTGAGGAGTCCCAAGTAAACTGTTTTTCCCACTAAGCAGTGCACTCCTTTAGTGGACCAACCAGTTTGCTGGTGATAAGATGGTTTCTGGGGGCTGTCCTGTCCCTCGTCGATTCCTCGCAGTCAGGCAGCCAAAGTGGTTCAAGACATCAAAGTTCATGCTCAATCATCCAGGTACGAAATCCAATAATGATCTATCTGGACAGTTTCTTTTTTGCAGTAAGACATTTTGCCCTCTATTGGGTGAAATCTAACATTTTAAAGGGTTATTCTGGATTACTGTATATCAAATGGTGCCACTTGAAAGAGTTTACGTTGGTAGTTCTCCACATTTGTGAGTAATTTGTTTAGCATTTATCTTTGATTCTTGCATACTGCCTCTATTATACTTTATATTTTTGCTATTTTTGGATGTAACTGAGACCTTGCGTACACAATTTCGTTTCACCTCATGTACCGCATGTGATGCAAATGACTATGAACGTGAACATTTATTCATAGGTCATTCTGAAATACAGGTTTGCACTCAATGTAAACAAAGCACTTTAATTTGTATACTTTACTCAACAAATCTGAGCATAAATACATACTAATAAATGAAAATTGTCAGACTTCTCCGTCTCAAATGACTTGTCTATGGATGTCCTCATTGATGTACTTCAGTACTTGAGTTCAGTGACTTCGGCTGTTTCTGTAGGTAAACAAACGCATGTCACAGTTGTCACATATGCTCTTTATGGAGTAACCCAAATCCTCTAGCCTTTCTGCGTAATACACAGAAGCTGATAGGAGGAAAGTTGCACGTCTTTTCAGAGTGGTATTTTGCATTTGCGTCACTTTAATATTTTTTCTTGTGCAGATTAGATTTATTTGAATCTGGCTGTCACATTTCCATATCTCCCAAGACGTTTCACTTCTTACAGAGCTATTTTTAACAGTAAAGGTTCTTATTTTAGGAGTGTCTCTGTTGCAGACGATCTTAAGATGCTGTGCTTTCTGATTTATTATTTATTTATTAATTTGAGTTGTCTGCAGTCTTCATATGATTTTCCTCAGTTGTCTTGAACGAGAAGCCTTGTCAGTACTTTTGGAAACCTTTGAGCACAAAACAGATGCTTTTAAAGTTTTTTTTAATTTTTTTTATACTATTAATAACTTTTCAAAAAATGTTTGTCTATGCTTTTTATTTTGAGTTGAAAACTTGAATCAATGAAGCGATTTGGATCATTCGTCGTCTTAACGGGGACGTAACAAGTCGATACTGGGTTCATGAGAATGATGCAAGATGTCATTTTAACAATATTTTAAAGAAAGTGTTAAAGAGGAAATGCTGTATATGGTGGGGAAAATACTTTTGTTAGGCACTTTTGGTACGGACCGGCCTCTCCTGTCAGATTTGTCCGATTTCTCATTATTCACACTTTAGAACGGACCTTTAAACTTTTTTTATCAAAGCTCATTTTCACAAGAGGCCAAAATTAAAACCCTGATGAGGTACTTGAGCACCCTACCTTTTTTCTTTTTAAGTCTTTTTGAAAAAGAAATAAATGCACTTGCCATTTTACATTCATGTCAGATGTGGTCTGACAGTCTGGTGCTGAAGATTCTCAGTCATCCATGACATGGGAAATTAAACAACAAAGACAAAACAACTGGACTTTTGTTCGGTAGCTGAAAACGTGTGGCACTCCAAGATTTAAACTGCATGAGGTGTCATCATTGTTAATATTCGATCCATCTGCTTGACCCTACCTCACTGATGTAGAAGTCTGGTGAAATCTGACATGACCGTTCAGACTGAGGTCGCTTTGAAAAACGTTGGGATGCATCCAGTTCAGTACCATATAAAACATAAGACCTGGGGTGGATTTGAAAAACAAACAAAAAAAAGATTTGTCATGTTCAGACTCAAGAAAAATACAATCTGTGCTGCATATACCTGTAATGTGAACGTAACCCAAGTATCTGGGCGTCTTGTTCACGAGTCATGTTGGGATGAAGCAGGAGAGGGATCGACTGATCGGGGCCTCATCCTCAGTATTGAGGGTGTTGCTTCGGTCAGTTGTGGTGAAGAAAGAGTTGAGTCGAAAGGCAAAGCTCTCAATTTACTGGTCGGTCTAGTTCCAACCCTCACCTTTGCTCACGACTGGAAGGATAACATCCTGGATGCAAGCGGCCATAATGAGCTTCCAGTGGCCGGGCTCAGTCTTAGACGGGGTGAGGATGTCTGTCATCTGTGGGGAGCTTAAACCGGAGCTGCTGCTCTTCTGCATCCAAAGGAGTCCTTTGAGGTGGTTCAGGTATCTGACTTGGATGCATCCCTTTGGGGTTTTTCCAGACGCATGCCCCCGGTAAGAATACCGACCACAGCAAAGGAGCAGAAGATGGAGAATACGTCCAGTCATTCATTACGTCTTATTCTTTTGCAGCTTAATTGTAAAATGTCGGCTCAGAGTGTGAACTGAGATTGACGATGCTCATAAACTAGCTCATGCAGGCTTCTCCACTTTTTATACATAGTTTGAACCAACACTAATCTAGCTCCGAGTGCCCTTCTTGAGGAGCTGAAATGTGACCGAAGCGTCTGGTGCAGTAAAAAAAAAACGGTAGTGTAAGCAGAGTGAGGCTCTTTAATTATGGGAGAAACGACAAGAGCGGAGCTGCTGTGATGAAGATGGACTCATTCAGGGGAGTTTCTCTTTAAAAGCTAAAATGACCTCGCGTTACAAACGTGACGAACACTTAGCCTGCTGGTCAGACTTCACTGTAGTTTTCTTCTAAAAAGACTCAATAAATATCTACTTTTAAAAAAGCACTTTGACTGAGGAGAGTAAATGGGGTTATTTTGCATCAAGAAGCTTATTACGCACCGAAGATGAGGTGAATATATCCATCCATCCATTATCTTTACCTGCTTCTTCTGTTTTGGGTCACGGGGGGTCGCTGGTGCTCATGTCCAGCAATCACTGTGCGAGAGGCGGGGGACCCTGGACAGGTTGGACGTCCATCACAGGGACACGGAGACGAACCATGTGCTGGGGCAGCCGGGTGAAGAAAGCTGATGCCAACAGCTCATCAGGAGAGCTGGCTCTGTCCTGGCTGAGGAAACCGCTCCAGATCCTGAACCAGTCACAGCCACTCAAACGATTTGACCGTAAATGCAGTTTTATTGTCTTAAAGGCCTAGCAGTCCTTGAAGGAATGCGTATTGCCCGCTACCTTTCATGCCGGAGTTTTGAACTAGGTTATCTCGTGTTTAAAAATGACAGTTGTAGCCATTTTTGTCAAACCTTTAAAAAATATTCTGATCGATGCGATCTTGTGAGCTGCTCAGGATATGGCTGGGAATACCTCTTACCTACTACCACATGAAGTTTTAGCTCAAATCTGTAAAAGTGACTGAATTTTAGCTGTTTTTTGTGTTGGCTGGTGCTAATTATAATGTTGCAGTGAAGCCTGGCGGACATCTTGAATGGGATTGACTCCAACAGTTAGTCGTTGAATCACATCCATTGATTACTGTTGGCATGCCGCATGCTTCTTTAAACTGTCTCCACTGTTTTATTAAATATTTTGGTAACAGACAAAGGCATGCTCAAGACTTTTCTTTAAGTCCTTTCTGTAACTACTGACACCTTAACTATCTAAATTAATAAATTTATAACATTTGAGGATTGCCGTATATATTAAAACTATACTCATTAAACTACCACTATTTAACCATCTTTCCAAATATATATGAACTTTTTTAAGTTCCCTAAATTGAGGCTGCATGAGGTTTTAAAAACTTGCGATGTGTAAAATTACTGCTTACTATGATAGCGACTATCGGTTCCAATAAACCCACATTTTTCTGACTTTGTCTTTGGTAATCACCGCCATTAATCCAGATGTGGACGTCGAGGCCCACAGAATCAGCTGGATTGACCAAAAGTATAATTATACCACATGAATGCACGTGAATCGAAATATAACTATTTATTGCAGCGCTCTTGCTGTATTTATGTTGCAATCAATATGCAGTTAAATTTTATTGTGCAGTCCTAACGGCTTTTAGAGGCAACTGTGGCTGAGTGGAGCAGTTGTCCTCCAATGCAAGAGTTTGGGGTTCGATTCCACAAGCAGTCACATGCTGAAGTGTCCCTGAGCAAGACTCTGAACCCCTCGTTGCCTCCGGTGTGTCCCACCGGTGTATGAATGTGATAAAGCTCTGATTATTCTTTGTACAGATCTAGTAAAGTGCTGTATGAATGATGTGGCATAAAGCGCTTTGAGTATCTTGATTAGATGGAAAAGTGCCGTAGAAGTACAGCCCATTTACCATTTAAGAGAAATTAATATATATATATATATATATATATATATATATATATATATAGCACTAATTTCTGTGTGTGTTATAGTTCATGTGGCTGTAATGCTTTTTTTCAGTTATTAGTTATAACAAATAATCCAGTTATTAGCAGGAGTTAATGGGAAGTGTGCAGCAGATGTAAATTCATAAAGCCATAATCTTTTTTTGTACATCTGTTGCGTCTAATATTGTATAATAAGGAATATGGAGCCAGTTGTCAAACATATGCTAGAAAAATTGGGCATTTTGTGTTGAGCATTTTTTTGGTGTTGAAGTTAGTCAATTTTATTGTTTTATTTCTGCTTTTTTTCAGCGTTTCTCGAGTGTGAAGCTGAAAGATTTTCCTCTGTCTGCTCTCTTATTGTCACTGTATGTAAATATTTGAGCCACAGTGTTGGGCTTGCATGAATCTGTCCAGTCAGGCTCAGACCAGGACGCTGGTCCTCTCTGACGTAGACCTGGATGGGTAATCTGGTCGGTCAGCAAAACGTAATCTTCTTTAGTCGGTGACCGCTGTGGCATCGTTCGAGTGTCTGAGTAGGTCTGTTGGTTCAGTTGCCAGAGTTTTGTAGAAATCCTTTTGTTTTGTGTTACTGTCTGGTGCAGAATTTTCAAGTGTCAGTTTTAGAGCAATTTTCCATCCCATCTTTTTTTTTTTTTTATCTTTTGTTCGACCTCAACACCTTTTGAAGCAATTTTTTTTTCTAATTAAATGCCCTAAATGAATGTGCCATTTCTGATTTGAGTGTTTTTTTTTTAAATATAGTGGTCAGTGAGGTTGTGGGAGCCTTTTTTTTTTTCTCGTCAGCTGTGGGAAAAATTACACCGACTTGTTTTAAAACCAAAACGGTAAAAATGTCAAACAACAAAATTCATTCAACCGTTAGGCTCATTGAGCCTCGAGGACTCGTTTACAAGAGAGACCTGGTTTTAACAAAGAATGATGACGACAGTAGACGACAAAGACAAAAGAATAATTAATTTAAAGTGACGGGGATAGTAGCTGAACAGTCTGGAAAGATGCACATCTCAGCGCTGTGTCTTCGCCTAACCTTAAGCAGGAAACTTGTAGAATAAAATCCTTCATATATATATATATATATATATATATATATACATACATACATACATACACCGTACTAACCACTGTACACATCACACAGCCATATAAGTTACATCAGTCCAAAAATGTCTAATAAAGTGGAAAAAAACATAAATAAGTCACTTCGCCGTATAAGTCGCATCTATTAAATTGATTGGCTGCCAAATGGCGGCCACAGGAGCGTGTACGGGGAGGACTTTAACAAGATTGACACTTAAAAACAATTGTTTGCTCGACATTATAGCAAAGTTGTGTCTCAGTTGAACTTTTCCTTAATAAATGCACTTTAATGGTCAAATCAGCCGCATTTCGTCTGGGCGGCGAAATGCAGCTGATTTGACGTTTGCTCCAGGAGTTCCAGAGCGAGACAAAGATATGACTCTGTATGGCAAGCCAAGTGTCTCATTAATAGCCACTTTTACCTATTAATGAGACACTTGGCTTGCCGTACTAGTCGAGGGCCCTCTAGTGGCTGAAAATGGTAGTGTTCAATATTTTCCATGTCGGAATGAATTAAATTGTCAGATCTCAGCCAAAAATTGGTTTATAAATATGGGGGGGCACACAAATACATCTCTTCGCTTTATAAGTCTCAGATGTTAATTTATGCAAAATATTGTGACTTATACGGCAACAAATACCGTACTTAACTATATTGTCTACTTTTCTGCGCAGCTCCTTTGGTCAACAAAAATATTTAAGTTGGATTAAGTGCTTCCTGATTGGATTGTGTAACTGCTTCAGAGCAGAGTGTTCAGACACACTGAACTTTGAGACATGATCTCAATATATATATATATTTTTTTAATTTGTTTGTTTGTTTGTTCCCTAGAAGTGAGCCATGGCTGAACAGAATTCCTCCCGCCCCCAGAGGAAGATGTCCACCTCCGGGGAGAGTGTGTACAAGGTGCTAGGCCTCGAGAAAGGAGCTTCTGCAGAGGAAATCAAAAAAGCATACAGGTAATCTGTTCGAGCGTGTAGTAACCTGAATAATTACTGAACTTATTAAGCGCCTTAGCTGCCTCTTTAAGAAGGGTTAGCCTCTGCAGAGCAGTAAGCCATTCCAGCCTGGAAATGTTTCCTCAAGTCTTTTTAACACGACTCAGATTCCTGGGAGAAACTCACAATGGTGTCTTCCTAACTCAAGTTTCTCTTTTGTCTTTGTAAGTACAGATAAGTGACAGGAAGGCACTTTACTGATATGTTACCAATTATTATTGCCATTTGGATATTGTTTAGAAAAATGTTTGGAAAGGAAATTTTTCATGAGGTCAACAGATGTGATTTGTGGCTGATACTGATTTTTATAAATCTACCAATATACACAAGTTGTTGTTTTTTATTTTGACCAATATTTATTTTCCATTCAAGAAAACTTAGCACTAATTACACAAACAAATATTTATCAATCCTCAGAAGAACTTGTGCACCTAAAATCACATATAAAAGAGCATTCTTGCCTAAAAACAATTGTGAGCCACATTAATCTGTGAGTTTGTAGTTCTGAACATTATGGCACTCCAGATAAGTTCCTACATTTGTTAAATTGTACCTTAGTTTTGTTCACTTCGTACCCATGTTATTTGGTACAAAAACAAGTTTAACTTCTGTCACTTTATACACACCTCGGTCTGTTTTGTACCCACCTCTGCAGCTGAACTCAGGTTTGCATCTAAGGAAGTACACTTTAACCCTCCTGCTGCCCTTGGGTCAAAATGACACACAAGCCTCAGTGTTAAGACTTCTGGGTTAGAAATAAAAATAACGGGTCACGCAGCCTCAAACATCAGCCCCCAGGGAAATACCGCTGCTCTTTCTGTTTATTTATTTATTTATTTTATCTGGTGAGGTGGGAAACCAAGCGGGTTCGTGATTCTGGGGATTATTGCCCTGCTTGTTCTAGGCTGTACGGACCGTGGAGAGGAGGACTCTGACTGGGGCGACACACCTGTCAAATAGGTGGTGTTCTATGGAGAGCTCAGAGAGGAAACCTTGCACAGAGCAGACGTTCTGCACCCCAGCTGGTTACAGGAAGATTTAATACTTTTTTTTATTTCGGCTGCTCCCGTCTTCAGGGGTCCTCACAGCTAACTGTCGCACGAAGACTTGGTATTTTGTTTTTCTGCCGGATGCCCTTCCTGACGCAACCACAGCCCACTGAGCTACCACAGCCCTCTGTGTGGAGCAGAGCGCTGCCATCCAGGGCACCCAGGGGAGCAGATGGTGGGGGTTAAGGGCCTTGCTCAAGGGCACAGAGTGGGGCAAACAAGGGTGGAGACAGGTGTGGGTGTCTCACCTTTTTCCCCCACGTTTTGATGTCGGTCTGGAGAGTTGAACCGGCGACCTTCAATCACAGGCCCACCCTCTCTAACCTCTGCACCACCACTCTTATTACATCATTTGTTAACTTTATCATGAATGTTTAAAAAAAATAACCTCATTACTGTTAGTGGATAAAAGATGTGAGGTCTGATAAAGCTGGTGTCTCTTAAATTATTATTTTTTTAAGTGGAAGGTGATTATTAGTAATATTTTGTACAAGCTGGGTACAAAATGACAACCATTTGGTACAAAATGGGGGTGAAATTTGAAAGAGGGACATCCTCCCACTTTTGAAGAATACATTTATTTTAAACGCTTTCATTTTTTTAAGTTTTATAATTAGGGCAAATGCTAATAAATTTTCTTATTAAGGTTTTCAATCATTTAGTTATTTGTTTTGGCCCTAAAGTGACAGTAAAGGGTACAAAATGTTTTAGGCTTTAAATAATTTGAACAAACTTTCCACACCTGCTGTACAACGTGTTTAATGACACACAGTCCAGAGCTGAAATGTGCAGTTCGTTATTTCTGTCACATTCACTCACAATGTTTGATTTTTTTAATGTTCTCCTTTCTTTTCCGACAGGAAACTCGCTCTGAAGTACCACCCAGACAAGAACCCCGACAACCCCGAAGCAGCGGAGAAGTTTAAGGAAATCAACAACGCCAACTCGATTTTAAATGACGAGAACAAGAGGAAGATTTATGACGAGTATGGCTCCATGGGGCTTTACGTGTCCGAGCAGTTCGGAGAGGAAAGCGTCAAATATTACTTCCTCATGTCCAAATGGTGGTTTAAGGTTTGTAATAATGTTTGTTTTCTCATGAAACTTTAAAATTCACCAGTTCAAGGTCTAAAAGCCTAAAATATAAGAAGCTAATTTCAAAATGGCATGAAACACATTTGTTTTCAGGAACGTTCTTGTTTTTGTTAAATACTAAATATTCACAGATTTTTTTAAATTTCTTTTATATTTTTTTTTGCACGGATGCAGAATCTAAAATTACAAACATGGCTGACACTTGGGGAGTTGTTTTGCAAAGGTTTTGTCATGCCCAGAAAAGTTATTTTTTGAAAGAACAATCTTTAAATTCACCTCTTTTTTTTTTATTCTGTCAACTAATTTCTTATTTGACCTCATTTGTCTTGTAGCTACTCCTAATTTCCAAACCTGCCAACTAATTAAAAACTGAACTTATCAACGGTCTTAATCTTTTTTTTTAATTTTACTAGTTGTTTTTATGTTTAATTAGAGAAGAACTCTGCAAATTAAATATTCATCTAAGCTAATATTTAACAGGTTTATTATGGAGCAGTCATAAGTAGAACTATACCTTATAAAGTTCATTGTATGACAAGGTCTGGATGTAATTGTGTGCCAAATAAAGTATATATAGAATATGCCAGTTATTTTAAAATAAGGTTCTGTGGAAAAGTTATGAACAGTTAATATCTTACCTGTTGTAGGCAGCTCTTTGTCCTCGGTTTGGAGAAAAGCTTTAATTCTGATTGGATTGACGAGCTAACAGCTAGCAGCTAGCCTGAATGTAGCTGAGACTAAAGGGCTGTCTTTACATTTCATATCTCAAAGATTTCATAACCGTTCATGCAAACGCTATTTATAGACCTTTACATTGTCCTCAGTTTGGCATTACGCTATTTAGATGAAAGTCTGGGGTTATTTATGAGCAAATACTAACTGTTGGGAGTTGTTTTTTTCTGAGATGGTTGTAGTTCACTTTAGAAGTCTTGCGATAATAACACCGGTAGTTGGTCTTGAGTCATTCGATGCCGTTTTAAAATAACTCCAATCTTCAGAACGTCACTGCGTTTCGAACAAATGCAAACCTTTAAACCCTCGTCGATGTGTCGGGGACGACTTTCAGCTACCGCTACACTAAATCTTAGCTCAGCATCTGCAACGTTAGCTAAGTTAGCCTTTTTTGTGTTGAGATGGGAACCATCTTGGGTTGAGTCCGAAGGTTAGTCAGCTGTAGGTGGTTTCTTTTGGCAACTTTCGTTAAAATGTTTCCATGGTTTATGTGATATTTTGCTAACAGACACAGGGTTGACTTCAGCAATGTTTTAAGTAAATATATATATGTTAGCGCTCAAAGTATGTTTTGGGGACAATGTTCAGCTACTACCAAACCAAAGTTTAGCTCCATATTTGTAAAACTGTCTAAGTTTTAGCTGTTTTTGCCAAGATCCTTTTGCTGTGACGGCCATCTTGAATTGGATTGACTTCAAAAGTGAATAACTTGTGTAACGTTTAGGGATCACTTTCTGAAAGTTTTATTAAACTCTCAGTGATGAGACAAACGAACACAGCAAAATAAAACGTTTTTCTTTTCACATCTGGTGACGGGCAATAAAATGAGCTTATTATGAAGTTGGTGTATGACGTAGTATTTGCATGAACCGCTATGGAAGTTTTCAGATTAAAGCTCCGTTAGGACGACAGCAATCCACTTTAGTCCTGGCTACGTTTGGACCAACTGTTAGTTTGTTGGTCCTGTTGGGTTAAGATGCATTTCTCCAAACTGAGGGCGCTCAAAGAGCTACATGCGCTTCAGTGGCTGTTGTACAGTATTTAATCAAGACAGTTCCAAGACTTATACAGATAATGGACAGAGCTCAGGGAATCTTTGAAATGCATACGATGAGTCTGTGGACCGGCTGCGCTGCTGTGGATTACAGCCAACATCTTGTGCTCAGTGTAATGCTTTATAATTCCACAGATGTGCAGCATATGTGCAGCATCTGTAAAGCTTATGACGCTTTGTTTTTTGTGACACGGTCAGAAATGTTTAAGCCAGAGATTACAGCAAAGTATTTATGTTCTTGATCTGTTTGTTCTGACTTGGTGTGCTTCAAGGCTCTGAATCAAAATATCTCCAGTCTTTTCTTGTGTTCGAGACTAATACTGTTAACTCCTGGATTATCCTTTTTCTTAGATATACAGTTTGTAAATGTGTCAGCTGCTCTGACTGAGCTGTAATCTGACAGGACTGGAGAAAAGTTCTCGTTGTTCGCTGACAGTCTGGACACGATTAAATTGTGTTGAATCTCGTCGTCATATCTGAACAATGTGTTTTGTTGTTAACCCCTGCAGAGTCTGGTGCTGTGCTGTACAGTTTTCACCTGCTGCTGCTGTTGCTGCTGCTGCTGTTTCTGCTGCGGGAAGTGCAAACCTCCCGATGACGAAGAAAGCTACCAGTACGTTGACCCGGAGGACCTGGAGGCCCAGATCAAAGCGGACCAGGACGGAGGTGAGTGTCGCACCGAGTGGAGGCTTTTCTGTGCATCTGTCAGAATTAATTCCCAACAAAGCAACAGAATCAATCACTTCTTTTTACAGCGTTTATGATTTGCACTTACTTTTAGCCTGCCTTTTTATTTTTTTATTTTTTGTAGCCAGCCTTTTGCTACTTGTAGCCAGCCTTTTTTTGTTTTAGCCAGCTTGTTGCTACATTTAGCCAGCTTTTTTGTTTTAGCCAGCTTGTTGCTACATTTAGCCAGCTTTTTTGTTTTAGCCAGCTTGTTGCTACATTTAGCCAGCTTTTTTGTTTTAGCCAGCCTGTTGCTACATTTAGCCAGCTTTTTTGTTTTAGCCAGCCTGTTGCTACTTGTAGCCTGCCTTTTTTTTGTTGTAACCAGTCTGTTGCTACATTTAGCCAGCCTTTTGCTACTTTTAACCTGCCTTTTGTTACTTTTTAGTTAGCCTTTTGCTACTTGTAGCCTGCCTTTTTTGTTTTTAGCCAGCCTGTTGCTACATTTAGCCAGCCTTTTTTTGTTGTAACCAGCCTGTTGCTACATTTAGCCAGCCTTTTGCTACTTTTAACCTGCCTTTTATTACTTTTAGCCAGCCTGTTGCTACTTGTATCCTGCCTTTTTTGTTTTTAGCCAGCCTGTTGCTACATTTAGCTAGCCTTTTTTTGTTGTAACCAGCCTGTTGCTACATTTAGCCAGCCTTTTGCTACTTTTAACCTGCCTTTTGTTACTTTTAGTTAGCCTTTTGCTACTTGTAGCCTGCCTTTTTTGTTTTTAGCCAGCCTGTTGCTACATTTAGCCTGCTTGTTGCTACTTGTAGCCTGCCTTTTGTTACTTTTAGCCAGCCTGTTGCTACTTGTATCCTGCCTTTTTTGTTTTTAGCCAGCCTGTTGCTACATTTAGCTAGCCTTTTTTTGTTGTAACCAGCCTGTTGCTACATTTAGCCTGCCTTTTGTTACTTTTAGTTAGCCTTTTGCTACTTGTAGCCTGCCTTTTTTGTTTTTAGCCAGCCTGTTGCTACATTTAGCCAGCCTTTTGTTACTTGTAGCCTGCCTTTTGTTACTTTTAGCCAGCCTTTTTTGTTTTTAGCCAGCCTGTTGCTACATTTAGCCTGCTTGTTGCTACTTGTAGCCTGCCTTTTTTTTGTGTTTGTGTGTGTGTGTGTGCGTGCGTGCGCGCGCGCGCGCGCAACTGCAGCACATCAGCTTCTCTAAATTTAAAGTTTTCTCACATTTCAAACAGCATTTGTACAATGATGGATTTAACACTCACCTACACTCCAATCCAACAGGTACTACTGTAATTATAATCCAGCCCACTTCTAATCTGGGTCCAGAGACCCCAGAAGACCAGAGTAAGCCCATCCCCCTGCCCATGCCTCCACCTGAGCCCCGGTCTCCAAGTTCGGCTAACCCAGCAGGTGAAGCGAACGCAGAGGACATCTAACCAGAGTCTGAGTGACTCGTAAGAGCCACGTCGTCTGATCGGAGCGTCTCGTCGTCTTCCATCTGTTTTGTTTGTCACGAGTCATCGTCTCCATCTGCACGTGGGCTCCTTCTCAGGCTGTTTGTGGGTTCTGCTTCTTTACCGACCCGTAACAAACTGTTCCTGCTTTCCACTCAACCGCTGTGGCACACAAACCACAACAATGATCCTGTTCATGTCGTCTTGTGCCTGCATGTCTTCTCATAATGTCCTCATAAACACATATGTTTTGTTTGTTCTGTGCACGATGCATGGGATGTTTTCAGTCTACTCCTGTGAAGAGGAAGGGCGTTATTCAGTGGTTTGAACCAGATGTTCACTGAAATGATCAAATTAATCACGTACATGCTTCTTTTGTCTGATTTATGAAACCCACTGGGTTTCAGGTCAACTTTAGGTGTCATTTTTTATTATTTGTGTTTGTTTCTCGTTCTGTTAGTAAAATGTCTCATTAACACGTGGAAGGATGTTAACGGAACTCTACTCTGACTATAACTTAGACATTTATAATTTTAGTAATTGTTACAGATATTGAGCTAAAATAGGATGTGGTAGTAGCTGAGAGTTATTCTCATCACATACGCCGAACTCTAACAAATCACATGAGATCTTAGTTTAAAACTTTAACCTTTAAGGCAGCAAGGCCGTTCTCTGAAACATGAATATAACCCAGAACGTATTGAAATGTCCCTCTCTGGGAAAGAAAACTCTACAGAAGTCGAGCTGTGATTTAATTTGACTTTCATTCTGTTTATATGTCGGTGATAATTTTTCTGTCTTCGTTCGCAGGAACGTTACCGTGCAAATAACGCTCCACCAGCAGAAGCAGGAAGGTAAAATGTCGTCTGTGGAAAAAGCGAAGCGGCAGAAATCAAACCGTTTCGACGTGTCTGCGCTTCTCATGTTTTCAGCAAATAACCAGATGAGTAGGCCTGTCGCGATAAACGATAAATCATTTAATTCCATGATAAATGAAAATTATCGACCTCATTTTCATTTATCAGCTTTATCGTTTCTTCGTGTCTCTCTCTTTCTACTGAAGACATTGGATGACAAAAGGCTCAACTCCAGTGCTCTTCACTGACCCTTCCCTTTCACTTTTCTCTTTAAAATCAGTTTTAACCGTCCAAAATTGCGTTTTTGGATCGTTAAAAGCAGCTAAGCTGAGAAGCTATGCTACGAGCTAAGCTAACAGGCTGACCTCAGTCGGTGGGGGGGGGGGTCATGTCGAAACTCCAAAATTCACAGTTGAAACCTGTGCCTTCATGTAAAAAGTTTTTTCTCTGCAAAAAGAAGCTGAGAACTTGTTTACTGATTTTTTTTATTTTTATAGACAGACCATGTCACGTCAAGGGGCCTCCCTCCCATTTTTCTTAGAGACACGCTGCTCGCTCCTTCACTATCCATCCTTCAGTTCAAATCGTCTTATACTGCCATCCAGTGGTCAAAAAAGTACTACACACAAAAATAACCAACATTTCTTTCACAATAACAAATTTTGCTGGATGATTAATTGTCTCGGAAATTATTGCGATAAACGATAATATTGTTTGAAATTTGACTAATTAAATTTAAGAAGAAATGTTTAATTTGTTTTACATGTAGTACCTTTTTTCAACTACCAGATGGCAGTACAAGACCGTTTGAACCGAGGATGGATAGCGAGGGAGCGAGCAACGTGTCTAAGAATAATGGGAGGGTGACCCCTTAACTTGATATGGGCCGTCTCTCTTCGGTTCTCAAAATGGCGGACCCTCAGTGTGGTTTGAGCTCTTTAGCGTAGCATTTTTAACACAAAGCTTTTAATAAAAAAATCAGTAAACAAATTCTCAGCTTTTTTTTTTTTTTTGCAGAGAAAAACTTTTTACATGAAAGCACTGGTTTCAAACGTGAATTTTGGAGCTTCGACAAGACGGAGGTTTTTTACCCCGAGGTCGGCCTGTTAGCTTAGCTCGTAGCTTAGCTGCTTTTAACGATTCAAAAACGCTATTTTGGACGGTTAGAATGGATTTTAAAGAGAAAGAGAGGGGTCAGTGAAGAGCACCGGAGTTGAGCCGTTTTTTCATCCAGTGTCTTCAGTAGAAAGAGAGAGATACAAAGTAAAGCTGATGAATGAAAATGAGGTCTATAACATTCATTTATCATGCGATTAATTGATTTATCGTTTATCGTGACAGGCCTATGATCAATAATGTTGGAAACCTTTTATACGTTTGCCTTATTTGCTTTTTATATCCATCTTTCTTTACTCTTTTCTTTAGCCTTTTGAGGCCCTTCTACCATCCACAGCTGGGAGCGCCCCAGAGAAAAACCAGCCCAAAGTTACCAGCCAACCCAGACCCCCTGCTCACTCCAGTTCCACGTCAGATCTACCTGATGTACCCGGGAACACCTGTGAGGTCTAAATTTCCTCCTGTTGTCTCCATGGATCCACCTGGAGAAAAGGCTCCCTCTCTTTATCCATTTTTGGAAATGTCCATTAACAGCTGGATGTTCTCCCCCGGAAAGTCCAAAACCTCGACCTCATCTCATTTTTTCTCTGATCAGAGGGGCAAAAAAAGAAAAACGTGAGGAACAGCATGACAAGATTTGTCCCACATTCCTTTGTCTTGATCATCAGCAGGATCTTCTTCCACATCAGCTCGTTTCCATTAGCGCGAGCCGAGAGGGCTGGTGTTAAATTTGATGCACGTCATGAGAAACGGGAACATTAAGACTGAGAAAGAAGTCTCATCCTCCTCATGTGAACAATCGTCCAGTTAAATGTTGCATCAGGGCCCTCCAACTACTAAAACGAAGTCTTAATGCCAAGTGTGGGGATTTGGAAATCCACCTTTCACCTCTTTGAGGACAAAAGACATTTGTCATAAGGATGCCACAACATTTCAGGATTTGATGCTAAACGACTGAGCCAAACGTGGAGCTGGGGGGAGCATGCGTTTTTATTCCTGTACAGCATGAAAGTCTAAACCACAAGATGTTGAAAACCTGCTCTGCTTATCCCTGCGCACTCTGGTAAAACGCATCGTATACTCAGAAACTTTCTCATGCCATCCCCGACGTTGTCGTGCGCTTCAAAGAAAAATCACAACCCCTGTGTAATGTGCAATGACCGATGCCAAACGATGGGACTCTGGTGGAACGTTCTGACTCGACTGTTTGTTGTCACGTCGTTCTCGTGCTCTTTCTCGTGTTGCAGTCACATTAGCCATCGTGTAGCCAGACGGCCGGTGACTCTGGCTCCGTGCCCAGCTGTGTGTTAAAATGCCATTTGCTCAGTCAGCCACAGTTCTGTTTGTCAAAAGGTGTGCGTTTATATGAAGCACTCGTTTGGGTCTGTGCACCTCACGAGGCGGATCTGTTACATTAATTTAGCTGTTACTTTCCATTAATGTCCATAATGGTTACTTACGGTGTGTTTTTAGGTTTTTTTTTTTTTTTTTGTATTTGCAAAATGTTTTATAAACTTGCAACCCCGCTTATGACGTAAATAAAAACTGAAAGCAATGATCTGCAAAACTTAGTTCCATATTTTATTGACAGTGGAGCATAGTAAACATGTTTAAACTAAGAAATGGTTCTTTTTTAGCAGATGATTTTGAATCTAATGGCAGCAGCACGTCTCGTAGCCGGGCCATGTTTCCCCCCTCTAAAACATCCCCTCTTCTTTTAACAGTTGGTGAACGTCTAGGAGCTGAGGAGACCACTTGTTGGAGGTTGGGACAATCTGCTGGCTTCCTTAAATAGTTAACTTTTTACTAATTGGCATTTTATAATATAGATGTTTTTAGAATAAAATGGAATAAATGTTATCGTCTGTCCCAAATGGTGACAGATGTTTTCCTTTGACTGCGCTTCAACAATACAATAACAATTCGAGACGCTCGTAGAAGCCACAAAAACACACGGGGGATCTGTTACTAGTGTGGGTGTGTAGCGATACAGTTGTTTTAAAGTGCTCAGTGTGAATCTTTGCAAACAGAATAAATGACTTTTTGTAGATTGCTTTCGGGGCCAGAAGGACTTTAGGAGCAGCTGGGACGAATGATGGAGGAGGAGGATCTTCTGTGATCAGGGCGGCCTTCCTGCTCGCTGAGCGGTTGTGCAGTTCGGACAGGGAGGTTTGAGGTGAACCGATGGTTTTGCTGGTCTGGTTTGTGTGTTTCACAGCGAGAAAGTTGTAACCAGATAAAATGTTTAAAGTAATCACAGATGCAATGAGTGTTTCTTAACCCGGTGTTAAAATGTCCGTGTTGATGCGCAGTGCCCGGAGACGGCGATCGTTGTGAACAGTCCTGGGTCTTTGCTGGACGGGAGCAGATGTTCCAAGACCTGTAGATATTTTACTGCATTGACGGAGCCTTTCCAGATGTGTAAGCTGCCCATGTCAGATGCAGTAATGCACCCCAATACCATCAGAGAGGCAGGCTTTTGAACCGTGAGCTGATAATAGGCCGGGCGGTTCCTCTTCTCTTTAGTTCGAAGGACCAGGCTTCCAAAATAATCTTCAGATTTGGACCCGTCTGACCACAGAACAGTTCTGGACTCATTCCATTTTAAAGAAGCTTTGGTCCCGAGAAGACGGCAGCCGTTCTTGATGGTGTTCACATATGGCTTCTGTTTTGTCTGGTTGAGCTTCAAGCAGTAGATTTACAGACGGGTGAACCTCTGCCCATCTTTACTTCTGAGATATCACGCCGCTCTGAAATGCTCTTTATATTTAGCCCTCCTTAGTTTAAACATGTAATTTATTTACTTTGTACCGCTGTGATGAAAATATGGGTTTCTGAGGTGTGGAAGTCGTTCTGTTCTATAACTACATTTTTCACAGCATCCCAGTTTTGGAATTGGGAGTTTTGTTTCAGAACCTTGAAACAAAACTCCATCAATCAACCGTCGTTACTTCAAAATTCAGGCACTCACATTTTACATAAAGACTCATAAAGTTCAGCATCTTTGTGGCCCATAAATCACATTTCCACTGATTTATGTTGAGTTTCCTGCATGGAAACCTCTTTAACTTTACGCTCTGACTTGACAGTGCTGTGCCTTGAAGAATCGTGCTAGAGCGAGCGGTGACGGAGCTCTTGAACATGTAGGAAGGTTTGCAGCGTTACCCTTTAATGTTTAGAGAACAATCCAGTAAATAAGCTTTTATTTTCATGAGCAATGAAACTAGGCTTTATTGGACACGGACTTCGCTCTTCGTGGTTGGAAACTTTAGGGGATCAGATGAATTTAGAAGTTTTCCATGCCTTCTCTCAAACAAACGTACAGTTTCTTTGTTTTGTTTACACACGTCACATCATTTGACTGGATTAGATATGTTTTGTCAATCCCAGGTAAACCCACTTTTCTCCAGGGTTTATTGCAGGAGAGATTTATGAAGCCGATAACGATTTGCCAAGGTACTAACTGTCGCCTGCTTCCTTTAATTGCTGTAATAGTGGCTCAACAAGCCTACAGCAGTTGCATTGGTTTAGGGTTGGGGTTTAGAATGAAAAATTGGTTGCGAAGCAGAAATCAAATTTCATCAAACAATTTAAATAAGTTCAGGCGAAGACAAATTTAAAGCCGAGACATTTTGACTTTAAATATTCACAGTAACGTTTTTTTTAATCATCAACTAAATCTACTGAGCATTTTAGCCTAGGTTTGTTTTAGATGAAGACACTAAAGTTGCTTTTTTTATCACAGTTCATTCTGTGGAAGTTCACCTTCTGTCTGTGTGTTTGCCCAGAACAAAACAAAAGTGCTTTACAGCTATCTGTACTGTTTTAACCAGGGCTTAATTTGAGCCGGATCCTGCTGGAACAGGCTCTGGGAACTCTTTAATTTTGACTGGGTGCGTTCTGATAACGGTTTGCTTGGATCCGGTAACTCTCAGGATTATTAATGATAAAGTTTTGAACAAATTTGACTGCCTTGAATGAAACGAATAAAGCCTATACTGGATATGTAATCTGGAAATAATTACATAAACACTAATTTTAAACAAAACAGCCACTCTCGAGCTTCCTAATATCACATCAGAGCTGGCCCTTCAAGTAAGCATTTCTACTTTTACCCTTAAAATAATGTCCGCCCCTAAAAGTACAGTCACGGGCAAAATGTCGAAAAGACAGTCCCATTTACATTAATTAAAAAAAAAAAAAGTCTTCTCATTGTGCAATTAAACAACTGAGAATTGAAGCGCATGAAGGCAATGGCACTGGAGATGGTACTGGAGCAGGTGGAATGGTGTGAGTGAGTGTCGAGATAACCAGACTCTCATACCCAGGCAGGAGCCCACAGCCAGCTGCCATGAACAGGAGGAGGAGGAGCCTGGGGGTTTCACATGTAGAGGAGGACAACAACAAGGAGGAGAGTGAATCCAGTGGAGAAGAGTCAGGCTCAACCGTCAAGTGAGGGGTAGGATACTTGAGAGAAGCGGAGCGTGCTCTATTCACACAAGGAGAGCTGTTGGTCAGGCTACTTCTTGTTGCTCTCTAAAATAGTTATTGAATCAAATGTTTACAAACGTTGGTAAATGAAGATGTTTAACAACCCATTAAAATACACCAGAATGCAGGAAATGGGATCTACTTTATTCAAAATTTTCTGGGGGTACCCCCCGCGCACATTCCGGCATTGTTTGGTTTACAAATTAAGCCCTGGTTTTAACTAACGTCTTGTTGATTTCAACTTGTTGTCTTCAGTGTTTTTGATGAAGTGAACACGAGAGGAAACGTTTGAAGGTTTGTCGTCTCAGATTCAGACCTGTTGGCTCTGAAAGCTTCTGTTACCTCGATGTTCAGGTTAAAGATGGAGGCTTCACTGTCGTTCAGCCTAAAACTGAAGCTTGATTTCTGTCGACATGTTTGAGCAAATGGTAAACTTTGGTTACAGTTATTTCCTTCCAAACGCTAATATATTTTTCCACTCAGATGTTTTCATACGTTTGTGTCATGATTGTCTCTTCTCAGAAAAAAAAATTCTCGGATTGTTTGTGGGGATTTTCAGTTTAGTTCTGAGTCACAGAAACTCAGTCTTGTTGCTTGAAATGACCCGAAATGTCCAGATCCAAAACAACACACTAAAGATGATGATTAAAAAAAAGAACACAGACCAAATCTTTTACCCATCTTCATTTCTAAAGTGTGCTCTAGTAGATTAAATCATAAACGTCACTCTAGATTATGGTTCTGGAAATCGTAGTTTGGAAAATATTCCACGCAAAACGTGGCTGCACGGCTTGCTGGTCGTTTGGTCGCAAAGACTCAAATTTCAATGAGACCGCAATGGAAAATTTTCAGATTTTTCTCATTTATTTTGCAGTTGGTTGCAGTTAATGAGGCCTTTTTTTAATTTTTGATTTACATCAATAAAAAAAGTTAAAAATAAATTATGTGCAATGACATTTTGAAATTTTATTTTCATTTAGTTTTTGAACAAATCAACAAAAACTGAGCTTTTAATCCTCCCCTTGTATATTTTAAAATTATTTTCTTTTGTATTTTTAGACCTTTTTAAGATGGCCGATTCGTCTTTCTGTATTTTCTGGGCTCAGACTGTTTGTCGGCTTCTCTCTGGCAACCAAAAGCAAGTTTCTTTTTTTTGTTTCTAATCTTGACTGTGTTTTAAATTTAGATTTGTTGACTAACAACTCAAAGAAAAAACTTTCTGCAGCCCTTTATTTTAATTTTTTTCAGATCTGTTATAATAAAATGTGCAACCTTATATAATTTTCAAAGAATTGCAGTCTGCCACGGCCCCATGGAGAGTTAAAAAATAATTTATTAAAGTGATAAAAGTTTGTGATATTGCACCGTTGTCTGTTTTTGTTCCTCCCGGCATAGATTAAGGTCAGTAGTGTGTTTGTGCGTAACGAGTTTGTAAATCCTGCAGCTCAACATTTCCTGCTGAGAACTTTGGCGTAAAAAAAAAAAATCGAACTTTTGATTCTCGTCTTAGAGCCTGAAGTCTCATGTCACTATATTTTAATTTTTTTAGTAATTGGAACTGTAATAAATCATTTAATTTTAATAATTTTAACTCCCTAAAATTAAAGTCTTGATGTAATGAGGCCAAGTTAATAGTATTTATTATTATTTATGTAAATAACTCATTAAAAGTTAGCAGACTTGTTTAATGCAGTGGTTCCCAACTCAGGTCCTTGAGGAACGCCATCCTGCATGTTTTAGTTGTTTTCTTGCTCCAACACACCTGATTCAGTGATTTAATTACTGCATGTTCTGCAGAAGCCTGTTATCACCCATTCGTTTAAATCAGATGTGTCTAAGCAGGGAAACGACTAAAACATGAAGGATGGTGTTCCTCAAGGACCAGTGTTGGGAACCATTGGTTTTATGAAGTGTACATTTTTTTATTCATGTAATAAAAGAACCAATTTGACAGAAAGGTGGTGGTTTGTTAAATCAAGAACTCTAGAATCAGTTTAAATCACTGATTTAATTTGCTAGCATGCACTGCATTCAGCGCACTGGAACAAGTGGCGTTAATGTTCTTCCACACTAACATGACTTTTTGTCTCCTTTGATTTAACGAGTTTATTGACTGATTTAACGTTCTGTCAGGTTCAAGTTTCTTTAAATTGAACGAGACGTGATGAAAAACATGTTTGAAACACTTTGACAGTTTTTATTATTTTATTTTTTGGCCTGTGGATGATGTGTAAACGAGTTGTGATCAAACAACCCAATAAAATGAGAGGAATTTTATAATTTTCTGTTTCATCATTTGTCGTTCTTGAAGCACATTTGTGCAACGTTTATTTTCTTTTTAAGATTTTGAATATTGTATTTGAATGCATGTTTAGAAGCTGAAGGATGAAATTCTGCTTTGAGATGATGAGAAGGATTTCTACTTTGGGTTGAATGAACATGCAGATTGTGTGCGTGCGCTTGTTTAGCTTACACTGCAGACTATATATAGTCCTGTAATCCCATTAGCAGCTTGGTCTCCGAGCCGACTGCATTCTGTTGATTAGCTCCATCCTTCGTGTGTTTTTGGTCGTCAGGAGTTAAAGCTGCTGTTTGAGAGCAAAGAGATGAAATTATTGTTTAAATAGACTCTTAAAGGAACTGATGGAGCCTAAATGCTATTATTTTTATTTGTAATTAATGTTTTGAAGTACCATACCATTTTATTTATAGAGCACTTAAAACAGCTACAAGGCCAACCAAAGTGCTGTACAGACAGAACAACAGACGACACACGAAGCAAAATACAAAATGAAGTAAATCACAAATAAAGACATAAAAAGTAGGACCGAATGTCTTGATCACAGTCTGTGCCGTGTCTTGTTTATATTTCTGGTGTAAATTGTTAAAGCGCTGCTTTCATAAATCACATAAATCAAAACAAACCGTTTGAATGTTTCATGTCTGTATGTTTTTAGCTCGTGGGTTTGATTCGTTTGTTTTTTGCCACATTGTGCTGGACTTGCTCGTTTACCTGAACAACAGAAAGAAGCTTGTTTTGCTCCTGATTATATTTTTCTAAACCAGCTGCTCCTGTTGTTCTGTGTTTACAGGGTCAACATTTATTTTAGCCAGAGGGATCAGGCCTCGAGGGCATCCTTTCCAGATAAACTGTCAGAGCAGCAAATGAACAGCAGGATCCAGATAAGTTTGTCTTTTGGTGGGGGTGGGGGGGTTCAGTCCACTTGTTACCACAGTTGTCCTACGTCTCGTCAGTCGCAGCTGAAAGCTGAAGCCGAGCTCGTTTGCTTCAGGTTCACTGATCCTCCCATGCTGCAAACACTGAGGTCCTCCCTGGGAAGGTGTCATGGTGGGGGACCCGCTTCGGATGTTATCGGCCGTTATTATCATCTCCATATGTAGCGGTCAGACTGCCCCTCCTGGACCTCCCAGTGGGTTTAAAGGTACATTGTTGGCGATGATAATAGGCTCTATTTTTAGTAAAGGGTCTGGCGGTTAGGTTTACGGTCTTGGTTAGGTTTAGGGTCTTGGTTAGGTTTAGGCACAAGGGTAAGGGGGTTAAGTTTAGGGTTGGTCCTCAGGGTCAGGTGTGAGCTTACGTTTACGAAAAGGGTTACATAAGCTGAAAATTAAAACGACACTTCCTGGTTTACCCCCGTGTGACGCTGCCCATTATCAGCAATAATAACGTACCTTTAAACCTACTAGGAGGTAGCTGGGATAGTTTAACTGCTACACACAGGGATGATAACAACTAATAACGGCCATTTAATGGACTGATAACATCCGAAGCCGCTCTCCTTACCAGATGCCTGACTCACCTAGACGGGCTCCTCTGGATGCGGAGGAACAGCGTCTCTACTCTAAGTCTCAGATAACTGAACTTCTCACCAGGAGAGTCCAGATCCCCTGCGTAGAAACTTATTTGGACCATCTGTATCTAGGAACATAGACTGAGCAGTAAATGCAGCTCAGCTCCCTCTTCACGATATATGGACAGAAGACGGTAAGGAGCTCCTTCACCCAGACGTGGGTTACCAGGGGCCCCATCCTAAATCCAGGCCTGAGGAAGGTTCTCGTTGGTGAATTCCTGGTGATTGAGCCATGGGGTCTGGTGGAGCTCAGCCAAAATGAACTGCATGGATTCACCATCCTGTGGACCCACCACCTTCAAGAGGGTCCATACAGGTTGGGTACCAAGTGCTGTAGGTAGTAGTCGAAGGCGGGGTCCTCGGTGCTCTGACCTGAGCTTACAGAAACTGGATCAACTGGTTCCTGGGACATAAAAACTGGATTTCTGGAGTTTTGTGATGCTGTTGTCACATATAAACTTTTAGAAAGATTCTGCAACACGGGAGATGGGTCCAGACCTACTAATAGTGCAGTTACTCAAATCACTGAAGCGCCGCCTCCCAGGACTCAGGACGCCTTCTGGCCACCTCGTGGGGGATTTGTGAAGGACAGAGGCAACAAGTGGGGTTGAAGCCCCCGGTGTGCCTTTGAGCAGCGAAGCGAGGTAGCGACGGATCTGAAATGGTTGACCCCTCTCTGTGTGCCCCCCCTTTCCCCCCATCATCATCAGTTCAGTAGACCAAAGTCTTCATGTTTGTTTACAATCAACAGCTGGAGCTCCTCCCTCGTGGCCTTTACTGAGCAGAGACGCTGAGCGTGTTCTGCAGGGACATCAAGGTGTTAATGCTTCTCAGAGGTCCAATTATGTCACCAGGATCCACTCTGAGGGGTCAGGTTTATCACCGAGCCCCTCTGCTGTGACCCCCCTCCCATGATCGGTGCTTCCAGCGTGGGCAGTAACCCAATCCAAAACAAACAGGACCTAAAAATACCCCGTCTTCTCTCCAGCTGTTGTAGGACTAAAGCAGAGGGGTGGGAGGGTCTTTAACCCTGAGTGGCGAGGAGACAGAACCAACAAACAGAGAACTTCTCTAAAACCAGCAGGATTTGTCGTCGGAGGCGATGAGCTTCACTTTCAGGTCCCAAGCCCAAACGTCAGGTGGATCTGGGCCCGGTTCCGGCAGCAGAACCACCATGGAGAACCTGGAGAAGCAGCTGATCTGCCCCGTGTGTCAGGAGATGTTCTCCAAGCCTGTGGTGATCCTGCCCTGCCAGCACAACCTGTGCCGCCGCTGTGCAGGCGACGTCTTCCAGGTGAGAGGAAGAAAGTGGGCGGAGCTCGTTAAGACCTCAAACTGTTTTAATTGATTTAAAGGCATAGTTCACCACAAACGTTCCACCAGCTGAGACATCAGGGGGTGGGGGTCAAACTTTAGTTTATTTACTGTATTTTCTGTCCTATAAGTCACAGGGGTTTTATTTTTCATAATTTGCATGTCCTGCAACTTGTACACCGAAGCGACATATTTACGTTTTTCCAAATTATTTATAAACAAAATTTTTGGCTGAGATGACCGTTTTTATTCATTCTGACATGGAAATTATTGAACACTACCATGTTCAGCTGCTAGATGGCACTCGAGGTGTTTGGCATGCTGTTGCATCATGTAATAGGTAAAAGTGGCTATTGGTGACACAATCAGCTTGCCATAGACTGCCACCTTCATCCAGCTCTCCTGGAGCAACCATCAAATCAGATTAATTTTGCTGCGCTGCCCCGGCGAAATGCAACTAATTTGACCATTGAAGTGCATTTATTAAGTAAAAAGTCAACTGAGACGCACCTTTACTATAAAGTCGAGCAAACAATTAATTGTTTTTAGGAGCTTATCTTGTTAAATTTTGAAGAAATGCACAGGGACTCCTCCCTCTGCACGCTCCCACGAATCGGCTTTTGAAATGCAGCTGATTTGATCGTCAAAGTGCATTTATTAAGGAAAAGTTAGATTGAGACACACATTTACTATCATTTTGAGCAAACAAATACAGGTCCTTCTCAAAAAATTAGCATATTGAGATAAAGGTCATTATTTTCCATAATGTAATGATAAAAATGAAACTTTCATATATTTCAGATTCATTGCACACCAACTGAAATATTTCAGGTCTTTAATTGTTTTAATACTGATGATTATGGCATACAGCTCATGAAAACCCAAAATGCCTGTCCCAAAAAATTAGCATATCATGAAAAGGTTCTCTAAACAAGCTATTAACCTAACCATCAGAATCAACGACGTAACTCTAAACACCTGCAAAAGATTCCTGAGGCTTTTAAAAACTCCCAGCCTTGTTCATTACTCAAAACCACAATCATGGGTAAGACTGCCGACCTGACTGCTGTCCAGAAGGCCATCATTGACACCCTCAAGCAAGAGGGTAAGACACAGAAAGAAATTGCTGAACCAATAGGCTGTTCCCAGAGTGCTGTATCAAGGCACCTCAGTGGGAAGTCTGTGGGAAGGGAAAAGTGTGGCAGAAAACGCTGCACAACGAGAAGAGGTGACCGGACCCTGAGGAGGATTGTGGAGAAGGGCCGATTCCAGACCTTGGGGGACCTGCGGAAGCAGTGGACTGAGTCTGGAGTAGAAACATCCAGAGCCACCGTGCACAGGCGTGTGCAGGAAATGGGCTACAGGTGCCGCATTCCCCAGGTCAAGCCACTCTTGAAGCAGAAACAGCGGCAGAAGCGCCTGACCTGGGCTACAGAGAAGCAGCACTGGACTGTTGCTCAGTGGTCCAAAGTACTTTTTTCGGATGAAAGCAAATTTTGCATGTCATTCGGAAATCAAGGTGCCAGAGTCTGGAGGAAGACTGGGGAGAAGGAAATGCCAAAATGCCAGAAGTCCAGTGTGAAGCACCCACAGTCAGTGATGGTCTGGGGTGCCATGTCATCTGCTGGTGTTGGTCCACTGTGTTTTATCAAGGGCAGGGTCAATGCAGCTAGCTATCAGGAGATTTTGGAGCACTTCATGCTTCCATCTGCTGAAAAGCTTTATGGAGATGAAGATTTCATTTTTCAGCACGACCTGGCACCTGCTCACAGTGCCAAAACCACTGGTAAATGGTTTACTGACCATGGTATTACTGTGCTCAATTGGCCTGCCAACTCTCCTGACCTGAACCCCATATAGAACCTGTGGGATATTGTGAAGAGAAAGTTGAGAGACGCAAGACCCAACACTCTGGATGAGCTTAAGGCCGCTATCGAAGCATCCTGGGCCTCCATAACACCTCAGCAGTGCCACAGGCTGATTGCCTCCATGCCACGCCGCATTGAAGCAGTCATTCATGCAAAAGGATTCCCGACCAAGTATTGACTGCATAACTGAACATGATTATTTGAAGGTTGGTGTTTTTTGTATTAAAAACACTTTTCTTTCATTGGTGGGATGAAATATGCTAATTTTTTGGGACAGGCATTTTGGGTTTTCATGAGCTGTATGCCATAATCATCAGTATTAAAACAATTAAAGACCTGAAATATTTCAGTTGGTGTGCAATGAATCTGAAATATATGAAAGTTTCATTTTTATCATTACATTATGGAAAATAATGACCTTTATCACAATATGCTAATTTTTTTAGAAGGACCTGTAATTGTTTTTAAGTGTTAATCTTGTTAAAGTCCTCCCGTGCACGCTCCCGCGGCCGCCATTTAGCAGCCAATCGATTTTTGGCACACCAGCCCACATCTTCGGGTTGTCAGTGGTGACGCATAATAGATGCGACTTACACGGCGGTGCGACGTGTACGGTGGAAAATACGGTTCACAAAAAGTTTTGTTTTTAAGCTTTTAGGAGCCTGAACAACAATTTTGTTTTTTATTTTCCATCACGAATCTGGTTTGAAAATGCTTGAAATTTGGAAAAAAGATGAAAAGAAATGACTGAAATTATCTTTTCTTAATTAAATGCTTACTTTATAATTAAACTTTTTATTTTATTTTAATCAAATAAGTTCTTAATTATTGTAGAAGCTGTTAGACTGATTCTTTAAAGACTGATGGACTTAAGATTGTTTTTACATTTTTACCAAAAAAATTCAACTAATTTGTCGACAGTCTGGGCAACAATACATAACACAGCTCAGTACTCACCATGTACTTACCTAGTATTTACCGGATACTGGGTACCTGTGGGAACCAGGTACACACAATGTAAGTAGGTACATACCTTAAATACCAGGTATATACCTACTTACAAGAAACATACCTGTAAGTACCAGGCTGTATTAGTACAACCACGAAACATGATTTAATGTTTTTTTATCCTATTAATGCATGACCTTCTCATTGTCACGTGTAGACATGATGGAGAAGTAAAACAAACTTTACAAACTGTTAAAAACATTTACATTGACCTGACAAAGGTTCTGAAAACATTTGAAATTTCACTTTAAAATTACCGTAAAGTGTTTGAATTTGACCTTGGGGTTCATGCAGTCTGACATGTTCTTGTATTTTATTTGTTTTTACTTCTTATAATTTACAGTTGTCTTTTTCATAAAGTGCAACCAAAGGGTCACCTTTGACCACAGCTTTGTCACGTTTAGAGGCACAACTTGGAACATGTCGGATAACGTTCGGAACATTCAGCAGTTCGTCAGATTTACCTTTTTATTTATAAACCAACAGGTAATTCATGTCATGGTTCAGGTGAACTGAAACTCCCTCTCTGTTGGATTTGATCTTTCTCCAGGCAGCCAACCCTCTGTGGCCTCCACCTCGCAGCCCCTCCAGCATCACCTCCAGCAGCGGACGCTTCCGCTGCCCGTCCTGCCGCCATGACGTGGTCTTGGACCGCCACGGAGTCTACGGCCTACAGAGGAACCTGCTGGTGGAGAACATCATCGACATCTGCAGACAGCAGGAGGCCTCCAGGTGAGTCACCAAGTGAGCCTGTTTAACTTTACGCTGAAATAAAAATTTCAGTACGTCCTTCCTTTGGTCCCGTGAAACTGATCATTGGAAAAATATCTGTGAAGTAATTTATCTTAATGAACACAAACTAGTTTTTAGCTGTGGCTTTCCAGGAGACTTTAATGAGTATTAATTCTGAAACTTTATATAACATACTTTTACAACATATGTGATGTAAATGTAAAAATAAATGTGAAACAATAATAAAAAGGTAAAAACGATAAATCACAGTTGTGATATTTTAAATGCCAAATAATAAAAAATAAAGCGTGATTTAAAAAGTTGTTGATTTTAAATCTGATACGTGTAAGTTTTAAATGTTTTTACCAGTTTGTGTTTCTTTCTTAGGAATGAACGTGTTAATCTGAATAATCACCAGCAGGGGGCAGTAGAACAACAACCATATTTACTTCCTGCAGGTTTTAAAACCACAGAGTAGTTTAATTAGTTTAATAAGCAGTTTTATTCGTGCTTTACTGATGATGTAAAGAATAACCTCAGATTATTTGTTGTGGCATCGATTCTCAAAGATGATTTCTGTATTATTAATATTTATGGAAATATTAAGGATTAGATGTTTTATTTCATTTGTTTTTTAAACAGAGACAGAGATTAGGATGAGACGCCGCAGTAACGCTTTGAAAACTCACATTGAGTTTTTGTTTTATCAATTTCAAACAATCAGACTTTTTATTTACTACTTGTGAAAATTTAAAACGCATCAAGAAACGGAATGAGAAAAGTTTAAATACTGAAAAGTGAGAAGTTTGCCTAAGAATTAATGTTTCATTACAGAATGACTAAAAGTCACCATTAGTTATCCGATGTAACGGCTTATCTCAGAAATTAAAATTAAACTGATTATTTCCTGTATTTCGCTGCAGTTCTGACACCTTACTGAGCTTGTTTCTTATAAACTGCTTTGATAATCTGTGTTTCCTGAGTTCTTTTTACATTTTTAATGACGTCTAGTTGCTCAGATTTATCAGCAGAGACATCCTCCGTGTAATTTTGTGGCGTTTTCTCTCCAGATTAAAAACAAAATGAGTCATTAAAACAATAAAAACATGTTTATCAGGAGACGAACACTCCCCGATTATTAAAAAGAATGTTATTGTTCACAAATGTTCCCTCAGCTGTTGGTTACTCATCTTTTTTAACTCATAAAGTTTTTGTTGTTTCATCCTTTATTTCTTGATATATTTTGAAATAAAAAATGAACATTTGAGACCCCAACAGTTCATGTTCAATAATCCAAATCCAACAATGTTCAGTCAGGTCATCTGGACGGCTTCTTTTTTGCTGAGACGTTTCGGACTGAAGAAGTCCTGTGGATGAAGGATGAAACGACTCAGCAAAAAGAAAGAAAATGTCCAGATGGCCTTGTTGGAAAGTTCGAGTCATGTTTTAGTTAAATATCACGTCTTGTGTGTGAACGCAGATTCAGTCCTCACAGAATCATTTTTATTTATTCATCTTCTGCAGACTTTGAGACATTTTAGCCATTCATGTATTAAATCACTTTTTCAAATTATTTAACTTTGTTCACAAATATTTTCCCCATAGAAATATGAGATCTCTTCTTTAAAAACAACGCTCTCTTTAAAATCTGCTCCAGAAAACTGGCTCTATTTCTGTTCTTTTTCTACCATTCTGCAACTTTTAGCTAGTCTTTAGCTACTTTTAACTTTTGACTTGCCGTTTGATACCTTTTAACTTTAGGTTTCATTTTTCTACTTTTAACTTTTTGCTACTTTTAGTTAGCCTTTTAAGACTTTTGCAACTTTTAGCCTTGGCTATGTTCGGCTTTTAGTTAACACTATTATCATTCTAGGAAAGTTTTTTTATTCACAAGAATCGATTTCTTAAAGCTAGACCAAACGTTGTTGCCTTTCACAGAGAACTGTGCATCTTCTTTTCGTCACTGAAACATAAAAAACTGCTGTGAATCTCTTCAAGACGGTGGAGGACCTTAATTTCATGGAAAACCCATAACGCTCTGCTCATGAGTACTGAACGAACTCGACTGTCTGATTTTATTTATTTTATTTTTGTTTAATTTGTCTCCTTTTTAATCTTTATCTTTTTTTTTCTTTTGTTTGAAGTTGTATTTGTATTGTTTAATGACAAAGTTAAAAAAAAAGTTTAGCTTTTAGCTACCTTTTTCCTTCTCATAGCCTTTTTGATACCTTCATGACCTTTAGTTTATGGATATCCTTTTCCACA